TATATTTAGAAATCTTTGGGGTGACCTAATACATGTATGAATACCCAATATATTGGTGAACTATACGAAAAAGATTCACGTTCAACAAGTTTTTACATCGACGAAACTATTTTTTTTTTAAGAAAATGCAGCTCTTTTGGCAATCCCCTGATTATCCTAGTAAATTGTCCAATGATACTTGTTTCTGGTTATGAATTTATCTCCTCTTTGTTACTAATTGGAGTAAAACAGCAAGATGTCTTATCTACAGGGAATCAGCAAAGCAACATAACCACGGCCACCTGGAATTTTGTCAGAAATGTGTCTAAGGGTACGTGACGCAGACAAGTAGTAGACATAAGTTTATTTGTACTAGATTCTTACGCACTAAACATTCTTATCTAGATGTTGATTCCACCCCACGGGTTCTATTGACTCATATTCCTTTGTATCGCCCGGATTCGACCTCATGTGGCCCACATCGTTCTTCACCTATCATCAATCAGGTGCTTATCAATATTCTTCCATGATCCTTTATTTCTGATTGAAGTTGTGAAACATGTTCTTCCTTTTGCTTTAGACGTTTTATTGTTTATTTTTATACAATGTAATAACGTGAAATGTGCATGCATCTTATCTGCTTGTTCGGTTCAGAGAATTTCTCGTTCTGCTCATGATCAAGATATACTGTAAGCTAGCTTCTTTTTCCTTTTAATGGCATTTTGGTTCGAAGGATTGGATAACACTGAACGGAATTAAAAAAGGAAAAAAAAGTTCAAATCTTTTTTATTATACCGTCCAGTCATATCCAACGATCCTTACCAAACATGCACTTACTGTACTGGTCTTGTTTGTAATACATTCAACTTTATACTTGTACACTTTGACCGAGAACTTGTTGGTCAATTCTCTGGTGCAGGTACCAAAATTACATCACTGAAAAATCTACAGATGAGTTACTGGACCTCATCAGACCTGTATGTATTCTCTTCATTTCACAATGAATGCTGGAGAATAGGATGAGTGAAATGAAGCAGGGCACAATGATGAACTAATTTGTGTTGATGTAGGTGCTAGTCTTATCCGGTCATGATCATGATCAATGTACAATTACCCACACGTCTAAGTATGGTGCAGTGAGCGAGGTAAGCTCGTTATGACATTTTTCAGCATGCTGGAGTCACGGGTAGAAAAAGAACTCAAATATTGTCTATAGTCCTGTGTTAGGGATTAAAAAACCCCGATAGCAATAATAAAGGAAAGGGAAACAAAAACACAAATTCAATAATGGTTCACCCTCAATTTTATAGATACGTTCACTTGCCACTGTAGATTTTCTCTATAATTTAGAAAGAGATTATAAGGTTTTCATTTTCCTCACGCCTCTATCTTATCTCTAAAACAACCCAAACCCCCCCACCCCCACAAAAAAAAAAGGGGGAAAATTTTTTCTGTGCGAGCTGTCTGGTATTGTGTGTCTGTAGTGTTTTATCCTTGTATGGTTGTTATTCATTGCACTGCTGTAGATTGATGGATACATGCAGCATACTGTAGGAACTGTGAGCTGGCAGCAAGGGAATTTGTATCCTTCTTTCATGCTGTTATCTGCCTGTAATTTCACCTTACCAGATGGATCCAGTCCAGAAGATGCCATATCCACTCATCTGTGCTTTCTTCCTGCGCAATTGTTCATTTACATATGGTAAATATACATGCTAGATGATAAACGGGAGCATCAAACATTTAATTTCGCTGAGCTTTTCTTATGAAATTCCATTTGCTGAACGTATCAGGTACTTATCTCTATTTGCGATGACACTTATTATCCTTCTGTGGCCTGCAAATGAAGTGTTCATTTTCCGGAAGTTTGGTGAATTGACGGGGTATATCAGAAGTATAATTAACTTTAGCAGCTTTAGAAACGGCATGAAAGAGAAAAATGAAGATGAGAATTGTGAGTATGAGACGATTTGGGATGCAGAAGGAAATATGCACCTTATTAGAAAAGCCTCTCAAGCCCCCAAAACATATTCAGACGAGAGGATCTTGACTGAGCGGTAGGTACACCCTCTTATGCAATCAACTCTGATTTCATTTTTGCTTGGAAATGCTTGCGTGTATTGCTTGGTTTCTCTATTTCGAACTTTCTTGTTTATTATGCATGTGAAATTGATCGTCCACTACTTTCCATCACTTCCATCCGTACGTCAACATATATTTGCGACTTGTCAATTTTTCTCAACACTCGCATAGACAGAGGATCTGTTAGGTTCTCAAGAGTTGCATGCTGCATGTTTTTTGTCCTGGGTTCTATTGATTGGTATAGTTTTAGTCTCTTTTACAAAATTACACTATTTATTGTTCTAGTTACATTTGAGATGTATAATTTCTTTTTCTTTCATTTGTTTATAATGTAACATTAATCACTAAGAAATGAAAAAATTGTCAACACAACAAGATATCCTCCAATAAAAGGGGTTGGGGAAATAGAAAAGGGAGAAAAATAATATTTTTCTTCATATTTCTCAAATTTGTCATTGTTTTGTGAACCTATATGAGAGAGTTTGTAACAATTACGTAGTGTATGCATCTATCTTTTACATTTTTGTGATTTTTCTCCAGTTTTATAGTTTTTCGCATAAACACTTTGTTGTTTTGTACATGTTATTCTTCTTACTTCTACGAGCATGTTTGGCTCAGATGATACGCACCCAAAAGCGCCCCAAAAAGCTATTTATAATATTACCCAATCATTCTCAAAGGAGAATGGTGTGCTTAATCTGGAAATAGATTTAGATACGTAACATTAGCCTTGTTTGGTTTGGAGTAAAATTAAAATTTTAGTAGATTTTGATAACATTTGATGAAATGTGTGGTTAAAAAAGTTGATAAAAGTTGTGGATCCCATGAAATGTGGTTAAAAATAAGTTACGGGGGAAAATGAGTTTTAAGGAAGGGGGGCAAACATGGGCTAAATATAGTAGAGACGTATAACATTTTTTCTGTGAATCTCGTTAACTGGAAATATAAACATGTTCATTCATATCGCTTGCAGGGGCAATGCAGTGATGCGATCAAAAGCTAAGAAACAGATGGCGCAAGAATTGGATCCATCAAATCCTTCAGACGTGAATATACACGTAGGGATCGACGGTTTGGTGAAATTGCCGACTAGAACAACCAGATCAACTGCAAAGATGGTGATCTGGAGATTACTGCGGGCTTTCCAAGCAATTACGATCATTGCTGCTGTTAATGTCCCTCTCTATGTGTTGCTGCTTTTTAAAGACTGGATCGACAAATGATATTGTACCAAGTTGGTTTCGAACCATTCATTTCTGGTCAAGTATAGGAGTCTGATTGAATATGGAAGAAAACGAGTCATCTTCACCGACTAGTTAAAGCAGAGTGGCAGCATTGCAATATTTGGAAACATGTTGCTGTTGGATTTCTTCACAAGAACGATTTTGAATATGAGGTCTTAATTGCTTGTGAAATAGAAGATACATTTCTATTAAGGTTCATGTTTCTTGGAATTTGGTCTCAACCAGTTGTATTCCTTATCGTTTTGTTTTGTACTAATATGGGAAAATTAAAGCTGGGATCTCAACTTATGTCAAATGTGGAATTTGAAAGTCAGTATAATTTTTTGAGGCCTATATCCCCCAACTTTCAAGAAATTAGGAACATAATTTGCCGCCTAGATAGTCATATTGAGGCGACCGTGTCTAGCCTCTAGCTTTTTGACGTAGAACAGATTGTTGAATGGATTGAAATAAAAAAAAGGTAATAGTGCAAAGAAAGTGTCCGAACTTCGGTTTGGGTCTATAGTATCATTTCAGAAAGAGACGATAAGATGAGTAGAACTCATCGATTTGTCGTGACATACGATTGATATTGGCTATCTGAGTTCATTTAGAACTCGAAAATCGCTTTTGAAGTTTTAGCGTTATTTTTGTCATTTAGTGTATATTGAATTCTTTTCAATTTTAATTTATTTAAACTCTTATAAATAAACGGGTATTTCATTGTATTTTTATCATCTTACATTAAAAAAAAATTTTAAATTTATTTTCTTCATAATTTGGTGGATTCCAAAAATTGTGTTCTTAAAATTTTTACTTGAATTCATTGTTTTGCGTGGCGTCACTTATGTACTTAATCCCAACTAGTCTCAACTCGCCTTCGAGGACCTGACTTGTATTGAAATTTATCAAGCTGAATTGTCATAGGCGATTTCTTTCTTTTTTCTCAAATTCAAACTCGAATGTCAATACAAAGATTCGAAAATTCTTCTCTCTCTTTTCTTTAGTTGAGAGATATTACAACACGTAGAATTACATTTTTACACTTAGGAATTATATAATTTGAAAGTGATATAGTATTAATAATAGAGAAAATGTAAATTAGCTTGGAGATCTTGAATAAGTATCTGTTAAAAATTGTAAAGTG